GGGAATCAGTCTCCAATGGGAGATCTCATTTCTTTCTTAAGGAGACAGGGAGAGACCCTGGGGAGCTCTCGGGGTGGGGGGGATGGGCGTAGTCTCAGGCCTGGTTCAGCTGTTGAGATGCAGCTAGGCCAATTAAGTCTTTGGTGTAATGGGAAAAGGAGGGAAGGAACTCTCTTCAAGCAAACTCCCACCCCAGACAGGAGACTCCCTGCAGCTGTGGCAGGCAGCAGCAACAACAGGGCAGGAATCTCTTCCTTTTCCTCCCACTATTGAGAATTAATGCTTAAATTAGCACCTTGGAAACACCCAGATCTGCTGGCTTTGCCTTTTCTCTCAACTCCTACCACTCCTCTCAGACCTCCTTTTTAAGCTTGAGTTTTTCTTTCAAGTAAATAATAATAATAATAATAATTTTTAAAAATTAATCATTCTTTCTCCCCTAGAACTCATATTCCCAAGAAAGGAATGGCTTACGGACTTTCCCACCAGCATGTGCAGAAAGAGGGCTAATTGATGATAGTGCCCTGTGACAGGACTCTTCATCCTTCCATACCACTTAGTCCAGAAAGATACAACAATAGTGACATCAGCATTTCTTTGTTTCCCTTAAGGCTTAAGAAGGTTGCTCCTACTCTGACTACAGGGGAACTCACAATAAGCAAGAAAACAAAATTTTCCCTCAACTCTGAACTACATTCCCATCTGTGTGGCTAACCATTTTATCCTCAATACCTAGGACAGAGCGTGTAACACCCATAGTGCTCAACAAATACTGGGCTAATCAATTTGCGGAGTCAATGGCATCAGGTTCTTATGATAACCCTTATTAGTTTTTAATTGTGGTTTGAGTGAAAGTTTACAAACTAAATTTTCATTCAACCATTTATACATGTTTGTTTTATAACACTGACTACAATACCCAAAGCACATTGTTCAAAATCACCAGCAGCTCCGCAAGAGAAGGATGGGTAATATCCTCCTGTGTGATTTACTGATGTGATGGCAAACAACTATACAGTGTAACTACACTTTTCCTACTTCTCCTTATACTTCTCCTTTCCATTAATCCTTTTATTCTACCACTTCCTGCCTTCTGGGCTCTATCATTGGGCAAATGCTGCTTTTCTCCCACCTTATATGATTGGTTATGCTAAAGAACAATTACCTTCTTGGTGCTAATGGTCACTTTATAGGCCTGTCTATTGTTGGGAAGGGTGTAGGCCAGGGATGTGTCCTGTTTCCATACCTTTTCAACCTGTATGCAGAGCAGATTATCCAGGAGGCTGGGCTCTATGAGGAGAATTGTGGCATCAGGATTGGTGGAAGATCTATTAACAATCTGCATTATGCAGACGACACAACCCTGCTTGCTGAAACTGAGGAGGACCTCATGCACTTGCTGCAGAGGGTCAAGGACTGCAGCCTTCAGTATGGACTGAGGCTCAATGTCAAGAAGACAAAGATTCTCACCACTGGACCAATTGGTAGCATCAGGATGGAAGGCGAAGAGACTGAGATTGTTCACAGCTTCAGTTTGCTCAGCTCCATGGTCAACACTCTTGGCACCAGCAGTCAGGAAATAAAAAAGCGTATTGCAATGGGAAAGTCTGCTGTTAGGGACCTCTCTAAAGTACTCGAGAGCAACGGTGTCTCTCTGGAGACTAAGGTGCACCTGATACAGGCCATGGTCTTTGCAATCACTTGTTATGCATCAGAGAGTTGGACAATAACTAGGGAGGACAGAAGGAGAATTGATGCCTTTGAGCTGTGGTGTTGGAGAAGAGTATTGAATGTACCATGGACTGCCAAGAAAACAGATTCATCCTGGAGAGGATTAAACCAAGCAACTCCTTGGAGGCAAGGATTCTGGGACTTCGTCTGACATACTTTGGGCATGTTGCAAGGAGGGACAGGTCCTTGGAGAGGGACATCATGCTTGGGAGGGTGGAGGGACAGCACAAGAGGGGAAGACCCTCTATGAGATGGCTTGATTCAGTGACTGGGGTAATCGGGATGGGTGTGTCAGAGGCAGTGCAATTGGCACAGGATAGAGCAGGGTTTAGGGCTGTTGTACATAGGGTCACTATGAGTCGCAAACGACTCGATGGCACATAACAACAACAACAATTGTTTGGCTGAAAGTTGAATCATGGGAATGAGTTTTGTTCCAGTTTCAAAAGATAACTAAGGGCAATAGTCTCAGTGGTTCAACAGGTCTCTGTTAGACCAGTAAGCATGGATTTTTTTTCTGCTTTCGAGCTTTGTTCCACATTTCCCCCACTCTTATCCACCCATGCTAACCTTTAGCAGAAAAACTGGGAATCTATTATTTAAACTTTAAAGAGGTAGTCTGTGTTCATTTCATGAAGAGAAAAATTGAGAACAGGGGGGAAAAAGTTGAGACTTTCTAGAGGTATCAGTAAATAATAGCAAAAAAAAGAAATTAGTCACAGCTTAACCTGAGCTCTCCAGTTTTTATATTCAAATATTACCAAACAGCCACTCTGTCTCTTTCTTCTGCCTTTAACTCTGTGACACAATAACATGATTCCTTAAATGAACTCCAAAATGAAGAGTATTATGAGGAGGAGACGTCAGGTTAGGCTCCTGGTGAAATGTCACAGGAGAACCTGCTCATCTTAATAATACACGGAGCATTTAAGGAGTCGTCCCGGAATGCCTCTAGACTTCTAGACAGAGTCCTGGTGGCACAGTGGTCAGAGAATCCAGTTGCTAACCAAAAGGTCAGCAATTTGAACCTATGAGCCACTCTGAGGGAGAAAATTGAGGCAGTCAGCTTTATTACCTTGGAAACCCTATGGGCAGTTCTAGTCTGTCCTGCAGAGTTGCTATGGGTCAGAATTGACTCAATGGCAGTTATTTTGGTTTCTAGACATCAGCATGGAGCCAGGATTCAAGGGGCAGAGATCTCCAAGGCAATATTTTCAGTCTCCAAATGTGGGATTACTATATTGCTACTTCCATATGATTCTTACTCAACCTCAACAAAATTCTTGCAGAAAAAAGTTCCTTTAACTTTCAAAAAACAAGTTTTAGAGCAGCAGAACAAATTTCCTAGTAAATGCCTTGTCCACAAGCACCTCTTTTATACCAGGGCCACACAGTCCAGAAGCACAGACTTAAGGAGTGTTCTGGGACTCCTATCTTGCCATATCAACATTTAGGACTTCAGGCAACAACAGAGGCATGCTCACAAAACCGAGGGCCCTGTGAACCCATTCCTTCCCCCCTTTCCCTGGACAGCTGTTGCCTCCCACCTCAGATGGAAGACTCATTGCTTCTTCTCCTGACTCACTTGATCCTCCTCCTTCATCCACCCTCCCTTATAGTTATTGATTAGATGCTCAGAACTGGAAGAACAATCTAGCTCTAGAGAGTAGGTTGAATGGAAAGAATGTGTACAGAAAGGAAATTCTTTTAGCCTAGCTCAAGTCCTTCTACAAGTTCATAGGGCCAACTTCCCTCCAGGATTCTCTGGGTGCTCAAATAATCCAATGATGGTATCGGGCTAGGAATATTGTACGGTTCTGTGTAGAAACTACTGTGTTTTGGCTTCTAGAACTGTGTGAATAATCACAGAAATGAGGACGGAAGCTATTTATCTCCTATTTAGTGTTCATTAGTGATTTTCCCCACCATCCCCCACAAAGGTGTGATGTATAGTGTAGGCCATGGGTGCTTGCCAAGACCCATCCTGGCTGCTATAATGGACAGGTTACTAGCCCAGGAAGCCACAAAGCACATCTGTCAGTCATAGGCCTCCAGACCCAGTAGAACCTGTTCCTCACCACCTTTCCTAAGCAGGAGGGAGGAGGATGCAGGGAGCCCCAGAGCTTCAGGATTTGGAGAGCGCTGCTGGCTCCAGAAGAGCTCAGAGAATTGGGTATCAGCATTTTTCAGGTTCCTGGCCCGCTCCACCCTCCCTCTAACTTCTCTCGGGCATCTACGGGGTGAAAATAAATGGAAAAGAGAACAGAGCCTGCTGTTCCCTTCTTTCTCGGTCTCTACACTAGCTGGGGCTAGGCCTCCACTCTCCCGCGCCGGCGCTGCGAGGACATGACAATCAGCTAGGTCCCCCTCCCCCACGGTGGTGGCCAAGGGGCACGGTGTCCCCCAGGCCTGGCCTCAGTGAGTCCGCGTCGTCCCCCCATCCCCTCTGCGCTGGCACCGATGACATCATTCCTCCCTGACGCCGGAACAGCGGACAGCAGCCGGCCCGCGCCCGGCAAAGCACGTAGGCCAGGAGGCTGGGGGCTCTGGGAATCGGTGGGCACAGGCGGTTCCAGCGCGGCTCCGCCCCTTCCCCGGTGGTCTCGGGGCGTTCACATCCTCGTCCTTGTTTCTCCATCACGCCGCCGCACCGGCTCTGGGACCCCGGCCCAGACTGGCTGTGCTCTCTCCTCTGGAGAGGAAGTGACTGCCCTGACCTCGGCCGGGTGTTTCCATCTACATCCAGCGAACCGGCGGGCAGGCCTCACGTCCTCTACACGACTATTCCCAGGTCCCTTAGCTGGACGGCGCCCCGTCCCCTCCCCGCCGGGAACATCACAGATTTTTAAGGTTAAACGCCTACCCACCACCACCTCCCCATCATAGCCTCCTGGGCCTGATGCTGGCCTTGTCCCATCACAGTTTCTTGGCCATCCCCCGCTTAGGGCTTTCATGAAGGGGGCGCACCATTGTGCCCGCTCTGGTCCATCCGACGGCGCTGGCGCTCCCGGAGGCTCCCTCGGCCTGCCTCCGCCAACGGTGCCCATCGCCTTGACAGCTCTCATCCTGTGCATTCTCCCACGGTCTTCTGGGCCTGCAAGTTCCCCACCCCCTCACTCCGCCAGCCCCCAACCTCAGCGATGCGTTTTCACAGCTCTCTCTGCCCCATTGGTGGCTCCCCCTCCGCACGGCCCCCACGGCCTGATTCTCTCCTTGCCCTCCGCGGCGCCCCCTCCCGGCCCTGTCCTGCCCGCCGCCCGCCCCCTCACCAGCGGCTGCATCTCCGAGTGCGCGGTGGGCACCTGGAACCGGTCGATCTCCTCCATCATGGTGCCGGCGGTGATGCAGACCAGGGGCCGGGCGCGGCCGGGGACGCCGACTTGACCGCGCGGGGCGGCGGCCCCAGGAGCCCGGCGGGTGGTGCAGACTAGGCCGCCCGCGAGGAGTCGGGCGAACAGGCGGCCCGGCGGATAGGGAGGACTCAAGGATGAGAGATTCGCGGGCGGGCTGAGGACGGCGTGGCTCGGAAGGGTTGCCTAGCGCTGTAGCGGCTGTGGCTAGGCCGAGCCGCAGGTCTTGCCTCGCCTCCTCCTCCGCCGCCGCCTCCTGTCAGCAGCTCAGCCACTGCGGTGACTCGGCAACTCCACTTCCGGGTCCGGGACACCGCCCGAGCTGTACATTATTCATGAGGAGGCGGTACCGGGGCACCCCAGTCCCGCCCACATGCAGGGGTTCCGAGTGCTCACCCTTATTCTTGAGTGGGCGGAGCTTAATGGAGCGTGAGGATCTCTGCGCTCCCAGCCCCGCCTACTCGCCCGGCCTGGAGCGGGTGCCCCAGGCGCCTGCGCCTTGACGGCCGGGTCGGTTGCTGGGTAACCGCGTCAGGGAGGAGACGATTCTTTCCTACGAGGGCGCGGGGACCGACAGTTGTCCCCAAAGAACCCTTGCGACTGGGAATTAAAGCGAAAGTCCGGATTTCCTGTGCATGGTCGAGGAGACTGACAAACTTCTTGTGCTCAGGCGAGGGGGCGTTTTATAGGAGCGTCAAGTGTTGAGGTACTTACTGCTTCTACGAAGATGGCACCTAAACAGCTTCGTAGGCAGGTAACGTACCTCGAACAACCTCCAGATACTCTCTCACCTTCACCTCAGTGACCACTCCTGTTGATCTTTGACTTCTATTCCCAGTTGACACCTACTCGCTACCCTGTGTCTCCTGGCCAGTGCTCCCCCTGGCCTCTGACCCTGACTTCCTCCCCCACTCCTGTCCCTCGATTTTCCACCTCTTTCTTCTGTGGGCTTCCTCCACCACCACATTCCCTCTCTCCACTCACCCCTGACCTATCCTGATCACCTTATCCACCTCCTCCCCTTCCACCTATGTATTTCTCATCATTATTGTCCCAAAGGAATCCTTTGTCCACCCCTTTGATCTGCACCGGGCTAGATGGGGACACTATCCCTTTGGGAATCCAGAGAAAGAGAACCAACCGTACAGGTGAAAAGAACGCATTAGGTTCAAGAGTTTGGTTTACGTTTTCTGTGCTGGAAAACGTGTGAGAAGAGAGAGGTCAGGTAAACAGAGCAACTTCTTTCCCATCTCTGGCCTCTCACGTCGCATACTGCACGTCCCCAAACACTGGCCCCTGACTTTCTGGACACAGGTCCACTCTTGTGACTCAGGCAGCCACATAAGACGTTGTGTCCTTGTTGCTGCCTGGTCAAGTGGTCATCCCTTCAACATTCTCACCCACCTAGCGGAGTTTTCTGAAAGTGAGTCAGACCCAATCTCTTGAGCAGCCATGCCCTCCGTGGGAAGCCATTCAATCCATCTGTAATTGCCTTTTCCAAATGCTTTGATGCATTACCACTCTGGGACTAATAAGCAGTTTCTGGCTCTGTGAAACAAGACTTGTATTTATATATTCTGAATTTACCTCACCCGGGTCTAGATATTTAAGATATGGAGAGCAACTCTGGATTTGTTCTGTTTGTAACTTTACATATTTTGGTCTGACCTCCCTCCCGCATGTTAGCCTTTTGCTCCTGGATTCTTTTACTTCACCTCCTGCAGCAGTTGGACCTTCCACAGATCTTAGCTGTCGTGGGGAGACTGTTATTCCTGTATAGTTCTGCCCTAGTTTTATGCCAGATTGAGTTGTGTTTTCAGGCTCATGTGCTGTGTTTAGGCCCTCTAACTCAATTTACATGCTGCTTTTGAAAAATCAACATTTTTGAGGTCTAGTTTACAGATGGACCGTTTTACATGTTGACAGATTTTTACAACTTTAAACAGTGATGTAGCCACTACCACATTCAAGATATGGGGCACTTAGATTACCTCAGAAAGCTCTCTGTTGCTTCCTTCCAGACAGCTCCCTCAATTTACAGGCCTTAGCTCCAGGTTACTACTGATCTGCTTCCTGTTGCAGCAGACTTTTCTAGAACTTTTGGGTTTAAGCAATCTAGATGATCTTACCCGGCTCCCCAGCCATAGTGGAAACATTAAATGTTATTGTTATGTGCTTTGGAGTGGAAACCAACTCATAGCTGACCCTTCAGAGGATTTTCAGAGATTGTAAATTGCACAAATGGAGATTGCCCATCTTTCTCCTGCAGAGCGGTTGGTGGATTTGAACTGTCTGCTTTTCGTTTGACAGTGCAACTCCTCACTACTAGGCCACAGTTGTTAAATGTCAAGTTGAGCACGACTCATAGCAACCCTATGAACAAAAGATCTGAACCCTGTTCTATAACTATCATCGTTTCTCTGCTAGAACACTAGAGCTCCCTAAATAAGTATTGGAAAAAGCATTAAAGACTAATTGCCAAAGAGCAGAAAAGTGACAGCTAATGGGAAGAAGAGGAACCTGGGACAGTTGGGTCTGCTCTGTGTCATTAAAAGGTTATTTTATAGCACAGTGTCAGTACTATAATGTGGAATGGAGCAAAAGCTGGATTATTCTAGATTTTATGTATTATGTTCTTGATTCAGCAAAGCCCTCTTTGGGACAGTGCTAAATTGAGTGAGGGATAACTTAAAGATATTTGAGAATTTGTCCCTGTCTTCTGGGAGCTCAGTCCAAAGAAGGAGGCAGAATGCATAGGCACACAGAGATAAAGTTAGGGTCCCTGAGGCTGAGAGGGACAGAGGCATGTAGACTTGAGCAACAGAAAGGCTTCAGGGAAGGGAGCTCTGGTGGCCTAGTGGCAAGAAGCTGTGCTGCAATTCCAGAGGCACACGGTTTGAATCCACCAGATGCTCTGTTGGAGAAAGAGGGGCAATCTGTTCCTGTACCAGTCAGATCTGATTTGACGGTACACATACAAAAAATAATATAAAAATTAAAAAAAGAAAGGCTTCAGGGAGGAGACAAATGGGACTTAGATGACTACAATGGAGAAAAATGTCAAGGCTGGATTTGTTAGACAATAGAGAGAATTTATGCTTCAGTGTTTGATGTTAGATCTTTTCAGTGGCTCTATGTTACTCTTAGACTAAAGGCCTCACAGTTCAACTTGTTTGACCAAGACCTTTCATGGTCAAGCTTTTGCAACTCACCCTACTTCAATCTCTCCATTGCTTGTGAATTATTTACAACCCTAGCACACTTAATTGTCCTTGCTTCCTAGAAAGTGACACACTCTGTCCTCCAGTACTTTGTAACTATCTTCCTGGTATAGTCTTTTCTGGTATATTCTGTTACCTACTCTATTCCTATCCTCATGTCTCATTTATTTGCTCTTTGTACACTGAGTTAACTTGGCCTTCATATTCTCCTACAAGGAATCAAGTGCCCTTTTTGGAGTAAAAATAGAATAATATCCCTTCTAGACTCCAAATTTTGGGATGGCAAGGATCATATCTGCCTCACTTATTGTTGAGTCTTCTGTACCTATCAGTACCTGCAATGTATTAAATTCTTAGAAAATTAATTTAATATGAACCCTTAGCTGTTCTTTGAAAGTTTTGATCTGAGTGTGTTTGAAAGATAGAAAAGATAGAGCCTGGGGCCAGCAGATTAATGACAGAGACATGTAAATGTTCAAACATGTTCTCTGCATTCATATTTGTATCTACTTTGACAGTAAGGCTAGGAATGATTCATATTTGAAAGAACATACCCCTTCCTTAAGAGCTGTATGTTGGAAATTAATAGGTCAAAAATACTGATGACACAAAATACCTATTCCCATTAAAAAGTTTTATTTATTGAGCACCTCTATGTGTCTGGTACTGTTCAAGGTATTGATAATAAAGCAATAGCAACAGAAACACCTGCTTTCATGGAACTTAACTTTTCATTGGTAGTAATTTATCAGTCAACAAATATGGATTATCAGACAGTTTTAGGTATCAAGGACAAAAATAAAGCAAGGAAGGAAACTGGGGAAGTGGAAAGAGAAAAACACTACTACTGGTGGTCACACACAGATCTGATATTTGAGCAGAAATCTGAAGGAAACAAAAGGGGTGACTATGTGACTCTTGAAGGTAAAAGGATTCCAGATATAGGACATAGCAAGTGCGATATTCCTGAGGTGGAAGCCTGTTTATATATGTTCTGAATCAGAGGAGAGAGGGAGAGTAGCAAGAAATGGAACCAAAGTGATGCATTTCTTTACTTATTTGTTAATCAAATCTAACCAAATAACTCATTAACATGAAGTCAATATAACAACCCTGTTTTTATATGTGTTGCGATATAGCAACTGCATAGAGCTGCCCTGTAGTATTTCCTAGGTTGTAAATCTTTATGGAAACAGACTGCCATATCATTATCTCATGGAGCAGCTGATGTGTTTGAACCACTAACTCATTGTGCCACTAAGGCTCCTGGTTAATTAGATAATCCATTTAATAATCCAAATGAAATTGATCATGGTGGAGCATCATTAATCATAATATGTCATTAAAATGCATGAATGTCAGGCAACATAAACCATGGTCTGCTCAAAACATCACTGGTAATACCCCAATAACAAAATGTCTTTTCTTAAAATTGTGAGAATTCCAACTTGCTGTGTATGTACATGCAGGAACGCTTTGCATCATTGCCAAACATTGCCTGGCAGCCAGACTTCTTAGTAGAGAACTGAATTGGAGTCTTCTGTGAATGCCAGTTAAAAGCTAATTTTAGTTTATGACTAATAAATTTTAGTACCCCTTTATAACTCAGTTGGTTACCATAAAAAAAAAATCAAAGTCTGGAATTTTGCATCATTCTCCTATAAGAGCCAAAAAAAAAGTTTGCAACTTTGGATTCTTTTATGATCTCCGAAGGGGCCTCTCTTGAGAAGTATTGCTCTAAATAGGGGATGACTTGGATGGGGGTGAGTGGGTAGCATTGGCTCCAGAGTCTGAAGAAAGTATTGAATGATTCAGAAATTTTGAATCCTGTGACTATGCTTGGGATCTGTTAAGAAGAAGGAGGGGATGGGGGGGCGGGGTGAGTGACAGGAAAAGATGAGCAATGTCTAGGGGAATTTGATATATTTCTTTATGTCCAAAGTAAGATAGTCTCACTTTTGTGACCCTTCCCCATCGTCCTTATACCTTCTCTTCCTTAAGTTCTAGATAAGACCCTTTCTTTACTCCTTCACCACCAAAATATATCCTGAATCAAGCTA